AGAAAATAGAGTATATGGTATGATTTAGTTATATATGTACTTAGTTTTCTCCAAATCGGCTCGTAGTTCCATAGATTGACTTATTATGAAATTCTAATAAAAAACAGGAACTATTTAATTGTTTCTGCATAAGACATGATTACATTACTCCTTGTGTTGTGCGTCTAATTTGTCAGTTACTACCACTCAATTATTTTTTTGTTACTAAATCCTACAAATATTCAATACTTTAAAAATACTTTTTTTCAACAAATCTCTCCCACATCAGTAAAGTCTCGTCTAGAAACTCTATAAACAGGCGGAGCAGAGCCAACTCTTATAAAGAACGTGTGCTCTCGTCTCGAGAGACACTTGTCTTGAAATAAATAACAACGCGAATAGAACTATGTATATACATGTGCATATAGGAACTACAAAGTTACATTGAGAATCCACAACGCCTCATCGATCGGCCCAGAAGACGAAACAATAGTTACTAATCCACAGATTCCGTTTCAGAAAATGAATGAAATAATATAAATCTTTAACTTATTAGAATGTGCAGAAAATTAATAGATCAACAATTTGCGATTTCTTTTACTATTGAAAGTTCTTTAAACAAAAAGGTACTAATTTCGGCTCATCTATTATGACCATTTATATAGACCTACTATACTAGTTTGATGTCCTTCATTATCTTCATGCTAATGAATATTATGAATATTTTTTAATGAATCTGTTGATGTTGATCCGTGCTCTCGAAATCGTCTACAAAAATTTGTATCCGAACATACATACATACGTACAGACACACACACACACATACACAAATACCCCCTTTTGTTTATGGTATGTATGTAAAACTTAGATTTGTACAAAAAAAATTAATTACAATTTTTTGTCAACGCCTCACCGATCGTCCTGGATTTCAAATTCCAAATTACTCTTCTTGAAACAAAAAAATTTCAAGAAGAGTAATTTGGGACCATACTAATTTCGGCACATATATTATGACCATTTTTATAGACCTGCTATATTGGTTTAATGTTCTGCATCATCTTCATGCTAATAATAATATTTTGAATGTTTTTTAATAAATCTGTTGACAAAGATCTATAGTCTACAAAAATTTGTGTCCGACCATACATACAAACGTACATACTATGCTACACACACACACAACGCCTTTTGTAAGGTATGCAAAAATGTTCAGAAAGCCCTGAAACGTAGATTTGTACAAAAAAAATTCATTTACAAATTATTTGTCATTACTATAACTTACGCTACTCGTTAAAAATCGAATAAAAATTCAAATACACAAAAGTTAAAGTGTCAAAATATTAAAGCTCTAAAGAAAGAAAGAAACTTTGCATAAAATTTTTGAGAATAAAGCGAAGTAAATATCTTAAAAAATCGAAAATTCAGAGTTCAGTTTTTGATCTTGAATAATATATTTAAATTTTATATTGTACTTCAGACTCGTAGAATGACTTACTTTGGTTTTCTCTAAATTTCTGCATTAATTTTTATATTTCAAATCTATTAGATTAATCGACTCTTCATGTGTCGATGGAGATAAAGTTATAAGAAAAATGACTTGGGTCGGACTGTCCATCGAAAAAAACTAGTAGACTACTAGTAATAGTGTACAAATGATCCTAAAAATGTATATTTTCTTAACTAAAACATGTATTACACAGTTATCATAACCTTATAGTAAATATGTTTTATAAATCATACTGATCACAGTCAAAAATGTGTGTGATTTTAATTTTCTAAATAAAAAGCTTCATGTTTTCTTTAGAAATTATTACTTATTTAATTTTTCATATAGGTAATTCATTCATGGTTTCACGGTATTAGGAATGACCCTTTTCCAAAAACTATAGAAATAAAATTCTTTCTAAATTAGAAACTTGTATATTGAAATGTACATTCACCAAAATTATAATTTAATATTCAATCATTTTTTTTGTTTGCATTTTTGGAGCACCTATAAAGACTCATACAGTAATAACTCATACAGGAACAATTTATATATTATTACACAAATAATAAATATTTTATTATATATTTATATATCAAATATTGGCCCTTTCTATACATATAATTACCTCCATAAACAACATTTAATAATTTGAAAAAAATTAAAAAATAAAAAGAATTTTCTAACAGATTTCTACGTATTTCTCAGTGTAAAATATTATAACATTTTCGACGCGCAACTTTTCTCTAAAGTGTCATTAATTAAATATATTTAACATGATAATTTAAATAAATATCAACAATTGCAACATTTTCATTTTATACAACGTGCAACATTTACGCCTAGCCACAAGATATATACCAACATTTTACATATATAATTCGAACATTTGTTACCCTAGCGCCTTCTATGGTGGTGCATATGTGAATGTGTATGAGCGCATAGTTTTAATAAGAAAAAGAAATACAAATGAGTTCTGCCAGCAATCCCAAGCGACATTCGCTTTTGTCTATTTCATTTTTTTTTTCTTCATTTGTTATTTTACAAAAGCGCTACGCGCGACATAGCAAGAAATGGGTTCTGGGTGAGATTCCGGAACTTTGTTCCACGTACTGAAGATTGACATACAGTGTACTATTCATGATAAAAGTATAAAATACTTTTGACAGACCACAAAATGTAATAATTTTATTTGAACTAGTGAAGCATAGCATGGTACCTCAAGGCAAATTGCTGGAATTGCTGGAAAATTTTCGAGAATTTTTTAAAAAATCAACTTTTTTGAAAATTTTGGAACCCATTCAAGTCGAGAAACCCATTGTAAAAATGTAGAGAATATTTGTTGGAAATGCCTTTGCCAAAACTATTTATCACGTCTACTCAATAATGGGTATCAAATATTTCTTTAATCATTCAAATCGGCTGATCCGTGCTCTCAAAATCGTCGATGAAAATTTGTATCCAATACACACAAACATAAATCTATTTTTCCTAAGGTATGTCAAAAATGTTCAGGAGGTCTTGAAACGTAAAGACATGCAAAAATTTACATTTTCAATCGTTTTGCATTTCTTATAACTGACCTCAAAGCAAGTTAATGATTAGGTAAAAGTTTGACTAGTGGCCGAAATAAAAAAGATAAGAAAAGCACATTGAAAAATGAAGAAGTAAAAAGAGAGAATATTTACATATCAATTATCTGAAATAAGCGGCTTGTTTGCGTAATCTATCAGATTTACTTAGTTAAATTTTAATTGTAATATAATTCACATAGACCTTACAATTTTGAAACATAATGGAGTAGATCGGTTAGATGTGGTTGGGGTAAAAATTGTAATATTACACTGGCAAAACAAAAAAATATGAAATATGAAAGTAAAGTATTTAAAAAAATGCAATTTTATAAGATATAGAACCCTGATAATGAATTATTCTGGCAAAGGTTGCATAGAATGTGATTTTTGTAAAAAATATGCCAATGAAACATAAATTTCAAACAGAAAATATTCAGACATCAAAGTTTATTCCACTTCTTTATTTTTTATATTAAAATGCATTAAGGTAAACAATACTCATACTGACATATAAACTATTTTGAATCATTACTTCTCAGTATTAAATACATGTTTTTGAATTTTAATATCAATATAACAAGATCTATATAATACATTTCATCATATAGAATAAATATGATCTATAATACATTAAAAAATAAAGGATTTTTAAGATGAAAATATTTTTGATTAAGATGATCTGCAGTGCTGTTTGTATGTAATAAACTAAGAACAGAAAGCAAATGAGTAATAAATGTATCCATTCAATTTTCAAGGAACTACTAAAAATAGTTCACTTATTGTAACAACAATGAATCTCATTGGTAATCTAAATTTACCAAGTGATGGAGAATCGATAAAATACAAATCATAAAATATATCAATGCACTAAGAAAATGAATATGAAACAAAGATTAAATACAAAATAGATTATCTTTCAATTATACAAAACATTTTTTTGTATTTTATAAATTAACACATGATGTGCTAATTCACTATTTGTGCTTGTAGGTATATTTATAACTTACATTCATGTAAATTATATTTATACTAATCAAGAATATAATGCTGGTTTTATAAAATAAAATTGTTTTCCTTAACTATTCTAAATATTTTGAAACTTAAACAATAGATATAATTATATAATTTTGAAAACAAACGCTTAAACTATGAATATATCTAAATAAACTGCAGCAAAAATATTCCCAATGCCTAATATGATTTTATTTAACGATGGATGATGAAAAGAATTAGGACATCACTCTCACTATTGTTCTGCATGCGATAATTCACTCCTGAAAAAATATTTTTTAATTTGAAACATATTTTCAGAGATTTCAGCAGGCGATAAAGAATTTTATTTGTATGACTTTTGAATTAAGCATTATTTCTTTCGTTATACCAAAAAATATTGATGTTATAAGTAAAATATAACCACTTACCGCGAGGGATATGAAAAACAGAGCGCTCTCTGCAATCTGTTTGTGTGTTATCAATAGTCATAGTAACGCATCCCTCATAAACAAAACCTACCTAGAAACAATTAACATTTCAAATAATTTTAAATAGTTCAGAAACTGATGCTGAATGAGTTTTCTCTTACCAGGTTTAGGACTGCGGGGCGTAACTTTCTTTCACCTTTCGTTTTTAAAAACAGCCATTGACCACACACAGATTCATTTTCAAAACATATAGCCCTGTATACACGATTGGCAATAGGTTCAAAATCCAAATCATCTACAGAAGACCCAAAATAATCTGCATGTATATATAAAAGTCAATCCAACAACAAAAAAATAAAAAGTAAAAAAAAACATACTGATAAAACCTGCGAGAACGTTATCTTCATGAGGTTTCGATGATTTGTTCGCATCAGTGACATCTAATTTCTCGACACCCTGCAGCGTGGTTTCACTCTTATCCGATATATCAAATACATCTTGAAATTTAATTATTTGGTTATCAAACAGTTTTCTTCGAGCCTTCTGGTTAATAGTTGGCTTAAAAAGCTCCAAAATATCAGTTTCTTGTGTTTGTATATGTTCATTGCGAGTGACTAACATTCCAAGTTGCGAACTTAAGTCAGTTTCATCACCAAGACTAGAATCCATAGTCAATATTTTGTTCGACCACTATTGCTGAAGCAGGCTTGGCAGAAGTGAGTTTCTCTGGCCCCATATTGGTTGAACTACTTATATTTCTTTCACTTTTTTCTGGTTCATCAGATGCCATAACTCGGAATTGGCTTCTATTCACGTCAACACTGAGCGATCTTGGACTACTAGCAAATAGTGATGTGCAACTGTTACCTTGTCCAAAATATATTTTCTCTTCAACAGTTAACCAGGAACTGGAATCATCCTCTTGTGGAGATGAGTGAATTGAATTTGGTTCTAAAGTGTTTTCATCAGAAATAGATAATTTTTGTCGACTTGTCTTCATATTCTTTTTTGGATCTTTAGTTTCTTCAACACTTGTTTCGTCAGAATGTTTCGCAATTTCACAGCATCCATTTGGTAATCTAACGTATTTAATTCGTGTTTCGTTTAACCAATATGGAACAGGTCTAATCCGAGTTCTCTTTTCAGACATCTCTTTGTATTTTATCGAATCTATCTTTTCCTTCGTGCCTTTAGTATCTTTCCCATCCTCTGAAGCACAATTCAAAACATTGGATGTCCTTTGATTTCTACTTGATCTAGCTGCATCTACTTTTATTGGCTTGCGTTCAAGAATATTAATTTTTTTCTTTGGGCCAACTTTTGATTTTTTCTTGACACTCATGATATCAATTAATTTAGTTTGGCTGCGAGTTTTACGTGAACTTGATACATTTTTTCGATGATCAATCTTACGCGATTGCCTTTTTGAAGAAATAGTTTTGATAGTATTGTTTTTCTTTCCAACCATTCTTGATGCCTTATCTACAAATTAAATTGATTTAAAATATTGTTGACAGTTTATTAAATAATTTGTTTTATGAGTATGTCATTTGATTTTTACTTGAACGAGTTGCATCTACTTTTATTGCCTTTCGGACAACTTTTGGTTTTTTCTTGTTACTCAGGATATGAGATAATTTACTTTGACTGCGAATTTTACGTACATCTGTTACAATTTTTTGATTATAAATCTTACGCGATAGCATTTTTAAAGAAATATTTTTGGTAGCGTTACTTTGCTTTCCAACCATTCTTGATGTACTATCTACAAATTAAATTAATTTAAAATGTTGTTGACAGTTTATTAAATAATTTGTTTTTATGAGTAGGCGATTATTTAGACTTGCTTAAGTTTTTGTTTAATAGTTACTTACAGTTTCAGTTAATGACAGTAGTAAGCAGTCGTTGCAATTCTCTAGTGAGAATTAGCTGCAAAAACGCCAAGTAATTTTCTTCGGTACAATGTCTTTACTCAACAATTTATGAGGTTTGTAAGTTCCAATTCGAGCAAGCCGAAACTATTATAGGATCTTTTCGAGTGTCGCGTCTAATAACAGTAAAATAAAGCTCTAGAGAGCCGATAAAATGGGGGATATTTGAATCTGGTCTTTAGAGAATTCACTTTACGTTAAAAATAGTAGAAATATACAAGCCTGACTGCCTCTAAATCTGAGAAAATCTATGAAAACGTAAACTGGATAGTTACATATAATGAAAATAGTCAGTGACCTGTGGTTAAATATTCATTATAAATACAGTTATAAATAAAGTTAAAATAATCAGCAATTAGAATTTTTACAAGATATTATACATTATATATAAAGTAAATTAAGGCGTTCGCAAAGGCCAAATTCGAAATTGTCAATTTCCATTGCAGAACTTTTCTCATTATAAACATTTTCATCAAATTCAGCACGATGTCATATCTCGTGAGTCAAAGTAAATGTGGCATTATAATTATTATTAGTGTCGTATTCATAAATGATATGTTTTAATAATAACAGCGTATTGTATTAGCAACTTGGCGCATTTCTGAATTGGCTACGGTATACGAATACAATAGGGAAGACATAAGTCGTATCCCATCAAGAATGCTTTCAGGCAAATGTTAATTAAACAATCATAAATGTTGATATAAAAATATACAACGCATCTCAATAATACGTGATGCATTTGATGGATATGGCGTTTTACACACCTACCGAAAAGGAACTTTATATGTTTAAGAAATGTATTAAAGTTATAATTTATATATCTTCAATAGATATTATCTATTTGCTAAGTTTTTCGAAGCAACCCAGCTGTATAAAAATTTTATAGTTATTTTTTACTATCTAATCTAATAACAATATAATTTTTTATCTATAATCGCCAGAAGATTTACTAAATGTCAATGTAAGCCAGTTGTGAATATATTGTTGAATAAATAAAAAAAAATACTATCTTGAACTAAAATCTGAACTTAAGAATTCCCACTCTTGTGCTAACTTCACCTAATAATAGTCGGTTCTACATATGGCAACCCAGTAAGTTGCCCCATCTCTGTGCAATGAATTAATATTACAATTTATGTAATAAGGCAAATATTTATTAATACAGTGATGTCGGATCTGCAATATTTGGAAACATATTGCTATCTACATTTCCAAGTAAAAACCAATGTCACTACTGCTTGACAACAGGCTGCTGGAAGCGGGATAAAGAAAAGTGTTGAATTTTTGGATAAATGGTATCTGCACACCAAAATTTCTGAATAATTTTTAATCAAATAATTTGTAAACCATGTATTTAATATAGTCAGAATGCAAGGATGATTTGAAATTTAAACTATGGCCTTCTGCTATATAAATTAAAGTATATAAATTTAATTAAAAGCACAACATGAGTCATGACTGAATTTGCAGCAAACTAATTATATCTATTTTATTCATCATTAGTGTTTTTATCAAAAGTTAAGTCGATTAAAAAAAAGAAAATACCAGCTATCCATTAAACATTATTGTTAGTATATCTGGAGTACTATTGATCTATCTCTCAATGATAAATCTGAAGATTATATTAGTCAAAAATGCAATTGGCTTTTGGCTTTTCATAATGGTAATACTATATTTTATTTTAATCCAAGGTATCTACTATAACTTGATGTTTTCATGTAAGTTATAAGAAAAATTTTATTATAATGTTTTCATTCAATTTTTCATCAAGAGATTGTATTTAAGAGTTGAAAAAGGGTCAAAAAATTAATAATCAAGATAGAGAACATAAAATATTATTTACTTTATACGTAAGTCTTATTATAACATACCGAAGTTGTGTTTTTTTTCTTATAACTTATAACTTTAATATTTAGTTGTAACAAAAAATGTTATTTGACAAAATAGACAGAACAACTAATGCTGATTTGTGTTAACTCTTTATATCAAGTGATGCAATAAAACTATTTATATAATAAATATAATAACATCTAACGTACGTTAATATTAATATAAATTTATTAAACTAGTGGGGTGCATGGCATCGTGCCTTAAGGCAAATAGCTGGAACTTCCCGTGCCGTAACTGAAAATCTTGGTTCGGAACCCAAAAAAATTTACACAAAATGTGTACACATTATGAAAATCTCTGTGAAATATCTGATAATTTGATGTGCATAAGTCCAATAAACATTTTTTATCAATAAAATAAATCCAATAAAATTTTATAAATTCTTCATATTGTCAATACAAGTATAATGTTTTTTGAATTATCAAAATCGGACGCTCCGTTCTTTTAAAAACTAAGTTGCCTTTTTTGGCACCGTTTTCCCCGTATCTTCGGAACGACTAGACCTGTCTTTGCCAAACTAATCAGCACGTCTTCTTATCAATACGAAATGAATGTTTTTTATATTATTCAAATCGGTTGATTCGTGTTCCCAAAATCGTCGACGAAAATTTATATCCGCCCACACACACATACATCCATTTTTCCTAAGGTATGCCAAAATGTTCAGAAACCTTTGAAACGTAAAGATATATAAAAATTTTCATTTTCGATTTTTTTGCGATTACTATAACTTGCCGTACGGGAAGTTAAAAATGAAAAAGTGCTGTTGATTTACATTCCATTTAAGAACTTAAATTTTACCAAATTTTGAACACTTGTTCATTGCATAGCATCTCCATTAACACTAATAATAGTATTTTAATCTAACTTCAAATATAGCTCATGCGATAAATATAGCACACATATCCATGTCACTATTGTTCTACAATTGTATAATTATACTTGGAAATCTGATGCACTCGAAATAAAACAATAAATTTTAAATTTATGGAAGCAGCAAAATGTGCATATGAGTGTCATTGGTAAAATTTCCGCACAATCGTCGCCAAAATGCATTTCCGAAAGCATTCACACTTACGACTTGCGTTTCTATAATTAACCGTAAGTAATGTATCACAGACGCACGCACTATAAACTATTAGCAGAGTCGCCTTGAAGCAGAAATATCTCCACGCACATGTTCCGGCAGAGATTTGCGGACAGAAAAATTTCTAATATGTATTGGAAAGATTAAATTTCCTATATTTAAGAAAATCAATCTAGTAAATGAAAGATTTGTATACATATATAGGCAATATGCTTAACTACGACTTGATCAGAATTACTTCCTATAATAAGCTGTTCGTTGAAGACTTATCTTATTCCTTCATGAGGGGCAACCCATAAGTTAACTTTTCTCCTATATGATTATATGTAGTATTTTTAATTACAATCCTATATGATTGTATCAGGCATATATTTAATACTTGTTTGTTGCAGCTATTCCCATCCCACGCAAGGCAATGTTTACTTGAGATTATATTTACAATCTACAACCTCAAGTGGAAATTTGATATCACCCCGCCTGATATCGAGCTAACCAAGGTTGGGATCAAACGCAAAACTATTAGCCCACGTCCTGGGTAAAGCTAAGGCGGCCACGCTTTGTACATATAATGAAAGATGTTATATTAAAAAAATATTTAAAAGAACAATATTAAAAAAATATTTAAAAGAACAATCGAAATCTTACGTTTTTAAGATACCTATTGCATCAAGTATGGCACAGTTGTTTATTTTTAAATCTCAAAAACTCTTTCTACATACATTCTGAAGATGTTAATTAAATAAATGTAGTATCCGTAAAATAATGAAACTCCAGTGTAATATGCAATGACAAAGACAATGATGCAAATGCAGAGATTTGGTACGAGCAGAAAATCTGATATACGTCTTTCGAAAATTATATGCATATCACCAACAAATGTGTATCGTTATAACATATATTTATCATGACATAAAATACGCAATAACTAACTGAAATATTTAAATAATTATTCCACAACTATGCAGGAACAAGGAATAATCATAAATTCAATTGATAGATAATCTGAAGTCTAAAGATTATATCATTTTTTAAAAAAATATTTTTGAACTGGAATCAGAACTTACGAGTCTTATTAGTCCAGTCATTTAAGCTTAAATTAGATAAAAAATCACGGAATTCGAGATACCCAACTGTAAGTCTGTATATACTATATACTTGTATATTGACACCTAAAAGTTGTCTCAAAACCTACATATGGTAGGGTGTACGCAACATATGTAGGCTTTAAGACAACTTTTAGGTGTCAATATACAAGTATTTATAGACTTACAGCTGGGTATCTCAAATTCCGAGGTAAACTTACTATAATGACTAGAGTCTAGTCATTATAGTAAGTTTACCTCGGAATTTGACTAGTCACTAAGTCAAATTCCTAGGTAAACTTACTATAATGACTAGAGTCTAGTCATTATAGTAAGTTTACATCGAAATTTGACTAGTCACTAGACTATATAGAGTGTTGGGCCTATTTGATTATAATACTGGTCGAATCTACAGATGGCAACCTAAATAGTTGTCCAATCTCTTTGTTATGAATTATTATTACAATTTATGTAATAGGGCAAATATAAATTGATGCAGCAGTGTCAATGCAATCAGAGACATTTTCACTTGGAAACATATTGATATCTATACGATTTCGTATTTTCAAGTAAAGATCATTGTCACTGCAACTTGAAAACAGGCTGGTCGAAGTGGGATTGAATCCAGGTCTTAGTCAGGTCTAGTCGTTCTAACCATTTGCCTACAAGCTAGGCCTTATTTTAAAAAAAAATTATCATATTTCAAGAAAATTAATTTTATTTTTTTGAAATGCGCACTTCAAGTACATATTAAAGATAACTTGTGAAAATA